TAGCATATAGGAGCAGCCATAATTTTGCTTGTCTGGCTGTCCCAGCATCTATCAATGTTACATTGGACATGTCTCTAAAATATGGAGTTTGAAAAAAGGAGCAATAAAGCCAGATAAATATTTTCTACAAGGATGGACTATACAGAACAACATGCTTTTGTATTTTACCCTGTTGCTTAAGTCAGGCTATAGCAACTGCTGTAGTTGTGCCAAACATGTTGAAGGTGGTGATTGAGGAAAACACGGATAGCGACTGCTGGCTTTACAAAACAAAGAGACCAAAGGGCTGGAAATGTCTGATTTGTTTGGTGGAGAATGTAAAGAATTGAACACTCCTGACCCTGTTTACATTGGCCCTTTTAATGACTAATTGTGCAGGAAATAGCTCTGCTTGGCGTGTGCATGGAAACGGTTTGGGTCTCTGCTGTGTGTCAGCTAATGGTCTAATAAGGGCAAGAGTTTTTCTCCCCCTCTTCTTTTGTACAGCTTCAAAGAGACTGTTGATGGAGGCCTTTTGTGAAGGAATTACCCATTTCTCCTTTGTATCATTTTATCTCTCTTAATTCCCCTTGCCTGTGAATATTGCAGCATAGCAGGCTAAGGAACCTGAAGAGCATCTCCAGAGCCAGATAAAACACAAAGCCTTTCTTCAAAACCATTCCCTCTTGCCCTGTCACACAAACAAGATAGAGTTTGTATGATCCCATGTGAATGAGAAGACCTAATTTATTGAACTGGCTTGGAGATGGCTCTGCATTGTTCTCCACAGCAGCAGTGCCCTTTCACATACTCTTGAACTGCATCAAAACCAACCTTTGTCAGGGTTTTATGATATTCATATGGCCATTTCCAAAATATGATGTGATACAAGAGGCAGGATCTGTTCCTATACTGAAGCAAACTTGTAAACATGGAAAGACATGTCTTATATATCAAACTCTATTTGTGCTTCAGTGCTCACCTATTGCTATGTTTCCAGTTTTTGTTGTGAGCCTTCAACTTTTGGCCACCATAGGGTGATCCTAATACAAGGCTTTCTTGGCAAGAGTTGTTCAGAAGGGGGCTGCCATAGCCTTTCAGTGAGGCTGAGAGAGAGTGGTTTGCTCAAGGTCATCCAAGCAGGGATTCAAACTCTGGTTACCAGGGTCCTAGCCCAGCCATCAAATCACTATACCACGCTGGCTCTATAGGGCAGCAAAACAAATTGGCCGTGTACTTTCAAAGTTAAGATTAAAGTTGTGTACAATCTAAGTATTGTAATATATGTCTGTGTTTTATGTGCTTAAAACCAATGAGAAGGGTCAAGTTGCAACAAATTCCTACTGAATCTCAAGGCTTTAATTTATTTGACTGAATAATCTCTCTGATATGTAGTAGCCTGTGTGGACTATATTATTTGTTATCCTTTTTACTTCAACTAGAAATTATTAGAGCTGATGTTCTATATAGAAATTTACTCGGTATTCATTACATGCTTATAGACAGAATTAGATTCAATCTCATATTTTATTTCATTGCATGTGTGCTAGATATTCCTTTTTATTTCAACTAGAAATTATTAGAGCTGATGTTCTATATAGGAATTTACTCGGTATTCATTACTTGCTTATAGACAGAATTAAATTCAATCTCATATTTTATTTCATTACATGTGTGCTAGGTATTCCCAAATCAAATAGACATCCTGCCCATGTCTGACCTAGCTTTCAGCAACTGTCACAATAAATTACAATAATACTGGAAAGATTTTTGTCTAGAACAAGAGTAAATTCTGGGCAGGAAGACAGAACTGAGATCACACATAGAGTATCTTTTTCAGTAAAAAATTATTTCGAGAGTGGGGTGAAACTCAAGTAAATTTTACAGCAAATACAGAGGTGCCTATGTAAATTTAAAAAAAACCAGGAATTACTATTCTTTAAAACAAGTGTAACTGAAAACATCTGACTTTTGTTCATTAAATTAGCCCACATATATCTGAGCTGGCATTCATTTCTCTCATATATATGTTTGATTTTATTATTCTATGAGTAATTTAAATCCGTACTACCAATGTGCAAAGCAGTGCAAAGGCTATTATCTGTCATAGAAAAAGAAAGAAATATGTCAAAGAGGTCTCCATAGAAGATTTATGTTTGCTGTACAGCAGTGTTTCTCAACCTGGGGGTCGGGACCCCCGTGGGGGTCATGAGGGGGTGTCAGAGGGGTCGCTAAAGACCATCAAAAAACACAGTCTTTTCTGTTCATCATGTTGGTTCTATATGGGAAGTTTGGGCCAATTCTATTGCTGGTAAGGTTCAGAATTCTCTTTGATTGTACATGAATGATAAATCCCAGCCACTATAACTCCAAAATGTCAAGGTCTGTTTTCCCCAAGATCCACCAGTGTTCACATTTGGGCATATTGAGTATCCGTGCCAAGTTTGGTCCAGATCCATCATTGTTTGATTCCACAGTGCTCTCTGGATATAGGTGAACTACAACTCCAAAATGCAAGGTCAGTACCCACCAAACCCTTCCAGCATTTTATATTGGTCATGAGAGTTCTTTGTGCCAAGTTTGGTTCAATACCATCATTGGTGAAGTTCAGAATTCTCTTTGATTGTAGGTGAAATATAAATACCAGCAACTACAACTCCCAGATGACAAAATCAGTCTCCTCCCCAACCTAACCAGTATTCAGATTTGAGTGTATCAGGTATTTGTGCCAAATTTGGTCCAATAAATGAAAATACATCCTGCATATCATATATTTACATTACGATTCATAACAGTAGCAAAATTATAGTTATGATGTAGCAACTAAAACAATTTTATCATTGGGGGGGTCACGACAACATGGGGAACTGTATTAAGGGGTCGCGGCATTAGGAAGGTTGAGAAACACTGCTGTACAGGGAATTTTTCACAATGCATTCAGAGATGAGAAGTTTTGTCCTGCATATTAGAACCTTATAAAATATTAGGCTAAACTATCACTGAACTGGTGTATGCCGCCGAAAAAAAGCCCCATCTGATGAGATTGTAAGGTTTCCTATCACAAAGAACTGGCTGAACTTTGCCTTTCACAACACTCCAAAGTTTGTATTGATTTTGGATATCTGTTGCTAAATAACCTGCATGTACAAGCAGTAGTGGTAGCATTGTCTTGGAACTGACCACATTTTGGACTAGTGTATTTGGAAAATATATGTAACTGTGAAGTTGGAGGTTCCAGGCTTTTTTTTTTTCATGCTTTGCATTTCGAGAACCAAACCACAGCTCTTGGATGCTTACAATAGACTCAAGTTCATGACTCACTAGTGTCTTAGTACTCAAACCTATGAGGTCATGTAACACTTTTTGGGACTGCCATTTTTACTTTAGTTATGATCCAGTTAATAAACTGGAATCAAATAAAACCTTTAAAGGAGTGAGCGGAATGCTGGATCAGAATGTGACAAGAAAATGTATTTTTCATTAGGAATTATTGTTTGCTTTTGTTTAAGTTTCATTCATGGAGTATTTCAAGGGTTTTGAGACATGCCTTTTGGCTAGAAACTATTATATTAAATTATTATTGAATATGTTACAATTTCCACTTTCACCCTGAGCCAGCAAGGAAGATCCACATGGAAAAGCCAATTGCTATTTCCAGATCATCAAGCACATATGTATGATCGTATGCTGTATGCCAAGTTCCCAGGATAAATGCTTCCATCTAGCAGTCAGAAGTTTGTTCACAACAACAATCTATGTTAGTCACAGTTCAGATCTGCAATGCAACCATGGCAGAACATGTGTTCTGATATTAGCACTGCACCTTGAGAATAAGGATACATTTTGTGAAGCTATTAATAATGTCATATATGAAAAAACGGGGGGGGGGTGAGCTTCTGTGGCATTGGGGTGATAAATCCGCCGTAAAACTATCCAAATTGCAGGATGATAGCTGTTTGACACAACTTTAATTACTATAGCTTCATCCTTGAGAAAAGTTGTTAGTTGTGACACTAGAGCTCTGACAGAGAAAGGTAAACATTTTACAAAACTACAGTTCATTGAAATACAAAGCATCGAGCCATGATAATTAATGTGATGTCAAACTGCCATAATTCTGCAATGTGGATACATTCTCTCACAACCTTCTAGCACAGTAGTTCTCAACCTGAGGGTCCCCAGATGTTTTGGCCTTCAACTCCCAGAAATCCTAACAGTTGGTAAAATGGCTAGGATGTCTGGGGGCCAAAACACCTGGGGACCCACAGGTTGAGAACCACTGTAAGCAGAACTTCAAAGGAACTGACCATTGAATCCATCAGCCTCCCCCTCACAGCGAGCCATGCACCTTGTGAAATAGGAGGCCTTGTCGCAGACTCATGGTTCCCCCCAGGCCCAGCACAGGGAGAGAGAGAGGGAGAGCAGCCAGGGCAGGACTTGCTTGCGACCCTTGCTGGGGTCTCCTCTGCTGCCAGGCGAGTGACTCGCAGAGAGGGGAAAGTCAATGGAGAGTGGGAGAGAGAGAGAGACATCAGTCCTGCCACTGCTATGAAGGCACGTGGAAGGTGAGGGAGGTGGGTGGAGAGAAAGGGAGGACATACAAAACAAACAAATTTCTTTACAAAAACTCAGAGATGGATTTTTTGATTAATTTGTGTTCAACGGGGTGGATCTGAGGGTCATAAATCGGGCCGTATGTACGGATTTAACAAAGCATGATTTATGACCCTCTAATGATTTTTTTACACAGTCTGACTAATTATGAACATAATAGTTCATACTTGCTAACAAAGAAAAGTATTTAGCTTTTCATTTATATCTATATATCTATATGTATAGAACTGTTTTAAAATATTCATAGATTAAAAAGCTTGTAAACCTCTTCCATCTCCACCAACCATTTTTTAGGAATAATTTTTAGCATGGAGATACAGCTGTCATATTGCATCAAGCAGATGTCCGACATCCTTTGCCAGGTGAATGTATAAAGATACACTGTTTTCTATCTCTTCATCTTTCAGGTCACTTCCTGGGCAACAACACAGTTATTGATGTGCTAAGACAAGCTGGATTTGAAGTGGAACATATACCTGCAGGACAACCAATAGAAAAGTAAGCTTTTTTTTCTTTTTCCTGTGAATAAGCATATAATTTGTGGAAATATTGCAACCCAACCCTCCAGTACAGTATATTGTACAAACAAAATTGTGGAATACTGGTAAGTTGAACTGTGCACTTTTCTATCGGCAAATGAAGCAAGATAAGTAAAGCCGACTAGTTATATATTATTTATTTATTTATTTATTTATTTATTGCATTTGTTAACCGCCGCTCTCAGCCCTAGGGCGACTCGCGGCGGTGTACAACATATAAAAACAGTATACAATAGAGCACAACAAAATCAACAATTCACTATACACATTAAGCTAATTTACACTAAACTAATCCGCATCGTCACACATAGAATCATAGCCAATCTCATAGACCGTATTCCGTTCCACTTGTCATTACCCGTTTGTATAGCACTCAATTAAATGCCTTTCCAAATAGCCAGGTCTTTAGGCTCTTACGGAAGGCCAAAAGGGAGGGCGCCTGTCTGATGTCAACAGGGAGGGTGTTCCACAGCCGGGGGGCCACCACCGAGAAGGCCCTTTCTCTCGTCCCCGCCAGACGTGCCTGTGAGGCAGGCGGGATCGAGAGAAGGGCCTCCCCAGACGATCTTAAGGCCCTCGTGGGCTCATAGGCCGAGATGCGGTCCGACAGGTATTTTGGGCCGGAACCGTTTAGGGCTTTGTAGGATAACACCAGCACCTTAAATTGGGCCCGGTAGCAGATCGGCAGCCAGTGGAGCTGGGACAACAAGGGCGTTGTGTGCTCCCTGCGTCCCTCTCCCGTTAGTAACATGGCTGCCGCGCGCTGGACTAGCTGAAGCTTCCGGGCCGTCTTCAAGGGCAGCCCCACGTAGAGAGCGTTGCAGTAGTCAAGGCGGGATGTGACCAGAGCGTGTACCACCGTGGCCAAGTCAGACTTCCCAAGATACGGGCGCAGCTGGCGCACAAGCCTAAGCTGTGCAAACGCTCCCCTGGTCACCCCTGAAACCTGGGGATCCAGGCTCAAAGATGAATCCAGGGTCACACCCAAGCTGCGAACCTGCGCCTTCAAGGGGAGTGCGACCCCGTCCAGCACAGGCTGTAACCCTATACCCTGTTCGGCCTTGCGACTGACCAGGAGTACCTCTGTCTTGTCTGGATTTAATTTCAGTTTGTTCGCCCTCATCCAGACCATTACAGCGGCCAGGCACCGGTTCAGGACCTCGACAGCCTCCTTAGTAGCAGGTGGAAAGGAGTGACAGAGTTGGACATCATCTGCGTACAGATGACACCGCACCCCGAAACTCCGGATGATCTCACCCAGCGGCTTCATGTAGATATTAAACAGCATGGGGGACAGTATAGAACCCTGTGGAACGCCACAGGTCAAAGGCTGTGGTGTTGAACAGGAGTCCCCCAATAACACCTTCTGAGTACGACCCTCCAGAAATGAGTGGAGCCACTGCAAAGCAGTGCCCCCAAGACCCATCTCCGCAAGGCGCCTCAGAAGGATACCGTGGTCGACGGTATCGAAGGCCGCTGAGAGATCCAGGAGCACCAACAGGGACACACTCCCCCTGTCTAGCTCCCGGCGTAGATCATCCACTAAGGCGACCAAGACCGTCTCGGTACCATGTCCCGGTCTGAAACCAGACTGTGCCGGATCCAGAATATCCGTGTCTCTCAAGAATACCTGGAGTTGTGAGGCCACCACGCTTTCCATGACTTTGCCCAAAAAGGGGAGATTGGAAACAGGCCGAAAGTTGTCAAATTTAGTGGGGTCCAATGATGGTTTCTTCAACAGCGGTTTTATAATTGCTTGTTTTAAGCACGCTGGAATCTTGCCGTCCCGAAGGGAGGCGTTAACCACCACCGTTACCCACTCAGCCAATCCCCCTCTGGCCTCCTTCAGAAGCCAGGATGGGCAGGGGTCTAGGATGGACGTGGTGGGCCTCATTCCTCCAAGTATCTTGTCCACATCCTCGGGTTTCACAAACTGAAAAGAATCCATCAAAATAGGACAAGCAGGTGCTCGTGTCACATCCTCTGAGACTGCATTTAACATGGTGTCCAGCTCAGAGCGGATCAAAGCGACTTTGTCTGCGAAGAACCGAGCAAATGCTTCACAGCGCGTGGCCGAATTGTCAGGGCTCCCACCTGAGATGGTGGGAGTTAAAAGACCTCTGACAATCCGAAACAACTCCGCCGGACGGTTCTTTGCAGACGCAATAGTAGCCGCAAAGAAGGATTTCTTTGCGGCTTTTATTGCCGCGGCATATGCCCTTAAAAAGGACACAAACCGTGCTCGATTTGACTCGCTTGGGTCCGAACGCCACACGCTCTCTAGTTCCCTCTTCCTTCGCTTCATCACTGCCAGCTCCTCAGTGAACCAAGGAGCTGGTTTAGCTCGGCTACTTGAGAGGGGACGTTCCGGAGCGATCATGTCAATTGCCCTGGCCATCTCCCCATTCCAGAGAGCGACCAAGACCTCGACATGGTCACCTACCGAGGTGGCGGGAAAATCCCCAAGAGCCGTCAGGAATCCATTCGGATCCATAAGCCTCCTGGGGCGGACCATCTTAATGGGTCCTCCACCTTTGCAGAGGTTAGGGGTCGCAGTGAGCCTAAATCTGATCAGGAAGTGGTCGGTCCATGGCAACGGAGAGATGGATAACTCCTCCACACCGCCACCCTGCTCCCATCCCTGACAGAAGACCAAGTCCAATGTATGTCCAGCACAGTGGGTGGGCCAGATATTTGTTGGGACAGCCCCATGGTTGCCATGGCAGACATGAAGTCCTGAGCCGCTCCTGTGAGGGTCGCCTCGGCGTGGATATTGAAGTCTCCCAGCACAAGGAGCCGTTGAGACTCCAACGCCAGGCTCGAGACCACCCCCGCTAGCTCAGGTAGGGAGACTGTAGTGCAGCGAGGTGGACGGTACACTAGCAGAATCCCTATTCTGTCCCGGTCACCCACCCTCAGGTGGACGCATTCAAAATTTGTGGTCTGCGGGATGGGACTCCTGGTCAGATGGATGGAATCTCTATAGACTACTGCGACCCCGCCTCCCCGTCCTCCGGATCTCGGTTGATGCTGTACGGAGAAGCCTGGAGGGCAAAGCTGGGTAAGGTTCACCTCCAGCTTCATCCAACCAGGTCTCCGTAATGCACGCCAGATCTGCCCGCTCATCCAGGATTAGATCCTGGATAAAGGTCGTTTTTCCGTTGACAGATCTGGCGTTCAACAGCACCACCTTCAATCCGGAGGGCCCGCCAACCTGGTTACACCAATTTACCTTAGGAGACCGGTTTGGGATTATTAATGTAGATAAGCGGTCCGAATTAGGCCGAATTTGAGGTCTCCTTTTTCCGCATCTCCCCCTCCCCACCACGACCTCTATGGGGGCTCCCCGGCCAATGGAACACCTCCCCTCCTCCATGCCACAGTCCAAATCCACGTTCTTAGATCCAGTTTCACTAGATGTTTGGTTTGTTGGCGTTTTTTCTTGCCAACTCCCTTGATTCCCTTTCTCCCCCCTCCCCACCTCATTGTTATCCACGGACTCCAGCCCACTTCCTCCCTTGCCCCTTCCACTGGTCACCAATAACAAGGACAGTACAAATAGGGGAATGGGGAACCACATGAGTGATAACAGTACACTTCAGTAAGGTTGAAAGTGATAAGGTGCAATAAACGTCTCAGCACGGCCGTTGGATAGTTCATAAAGCGCAGGATCTTAAAGTGCAACACAATAGATGTCACAGCAGCGTGCCACTGGGGCAATTCATAAAGTGCAGAGATTTTAAAGTGCAACAAAACCCAAGTCTGGCCCTCAGCGCTACATAAAGTGCGGCATGGAGGAGTGGGGGAAGGGAACGTAGTGCTAGTATGATTTAGCAGCAAGTACGCTTTGGCAGCAGGAGAGGCAGGCGCCTTAAAGTGCTACTACTATATTTTCAATACTAGTGCATATAAAAGAATACAGAACTCTACAAAACTTTGTTCCTTATCTCTCAATATATGTAGTCTGAAACATTGGATGCACCACCGAAAATGAGAAGCCTGCAACCATACTTTAAAATAATTCTGATATAGAATCTTAGGATTTCTAATCCCCAAAATGGACAATTTTAAAGCTAAAATTGGATTTCCAAGAGTGGCATGCTGTATTGTAAAGATGTCAGTACAAACCTTATTGACTTCTTTCAAAATTACAGCTGGCACTGCTTTCATCAAAAGAAAAAGTGACTATTGTCAAGTTGTAAAGAAAGATTCTGCAATTTTTTTCTTCAGAAAATTGAAATGAACTTTTGATTACACTAACTATAGTAAAAGACATAAAAATGTGCTACAGAGGTTTTGAAATGACAATATAACTCAATCACTAGTTCTATTTTCTCTTTTGCTCACATTTATTTTAGGTGCCCATCATGTCTTGCATTGTGGGTATATAATGGATTCATAGACTATTTCCCCAAACAGCTTTTCCTCTTGGTCCTCTAGATTTCAAGGATACAAATAAAATAACTTATCTATAGTTCCATTGATGCAGAAAATATTAATCATAGAATTCCGGGGAAAAGGAATGCAACCTTGTTGAACACATGTAGCTATGGGGAAATCACAATATTGTTATGTATCTGAAGAACGGTGTAGATTATGAGCATTCTGCAACAACAAAGAGTCATCACTGGACACAGGTGGTTCTTGAATTGCTCTTCTTTGATCAAATTAAATGGCCAGCTGCTGCAATGTTTGATTTGCACATTAGAATTTGAACAGAGTGGAACCTCTTTTCTCTAGTCCTCTCTTTCCTGCTTATTTTTCCTTTAATAGAGTGGGGAAGAAATAAGCAAAATATTTGTTGCTACATGAATCAAATCAATCAAGTATTTATTTATTTATTTATTGTTCAAACTTATATGCCACCATTTATGTGATAGTTTCACAAGTGATGGGAAACCATGGCCACAAACATGATTGTTCCCCTTTATTTGGCATTTCCCTTTGTATTCTGCAAGT